CACTTAAACTAAAGTTAGAGTGTGAAAACCAATGTGTCTTTGGACGTGTGGTTATAAACCTTGTGTTAAAATTTTATTGATTTCTATTTACTTATACTAAAGTTATTATCCGGAAACCATCTGTCTTCGGATGATGCTGACGACGATGCCGGACGACGACGACAACAACGTGATACCAATATACGACCAAAAAATTTTTCATTTTTGCGGTCGTATAAAAACTGACCACAGCACAACAACACAATGGCGGGATGCATAAGTACGGAGCCATGCCAAAAAGGATATTACCAAAAATGGACTAAACAGTAAAGGTTAATAATTTACAAAGACCAATAAAAGAACACTATTACACGTAATTAAGATGATAAACAACGTCAGTACCTAGAATCTATACTTCAAGACCATCATGTATTATTTTTGAAGTTGATACTGAATATTTATCAACAAGGTCTTGGTATCTTCCGATGAACTTTTTTAGAAAAAGGACGAGACATTCTTTGACATAACCCTGGTTCATCAACCTTCTGCTCAGACACTGGTGATGTTTCATAAAGTCTGAGTAGCAGCTGCAAGCTCTTGAATACTGAATGAGTTAGGAAATGTATATCCCATATACAGGTGAAGTTGGTATATTGCTACTAAGGTGGGAAAAATTGATAATTTAAATGTTAAAATCGTCTCGTTTGTCATAGATTCTGGTACTGAGATGACCGCTTATGTCAAATTCGAGGTATAAGCCAAAAAATGAGGCAGAGAAAGCTCTGTGTGTTGTTTCTTTAATTTCTAGTTCTGGAGGATATATTAATGGAACCCATTGAGAAAAGTTTGGATTGTTAATGGAAAGAACATCATCAATATATCTGAATGTAAAATTAAATGATCTGGCTTCTTTGATCTTCTTGTTTTTGACAAGTGTCTAAAGGAACTCTGACTAATATGAAAATAAAAAGAGGTTGACAAGGAGAGGCGCACAGTTCCTTCCCATAGGAATGCCAACAATTTGTTGAAAAAAGTCTACCTCCAAATTCAACAAATATGTTGTCAATATGAAACTCCAGCATTGACTGATCACTTGTTCCTCTGTGAAGAATGATTTACCTTTTTGTTCACTATTAACAAAATATGCCGTATTGTATCCCAAAGTAATAAATTTATAGCATATGCATTGAAAAGCTTTGTGGATTATTTCTTTTAGATGATTTTTCAATTTCACATGGGGAATGGTGGTCTACAGGGTGGAAAAATCAAAAGTTTTGATAGAATTAATTTCGGAGAAAGATCAAGATTTAAAATTATCCAGAAGTTCTTTACAGTTTTTTAGAATCCACATTGGTTATTACCACTAGTACTACGCATGTAAACAGTTTCAAAGTATTTCTGAAGATCCTCTTTCACTGCGGACAGAATTTTTGTCAATCTAATGGACAATTCCTTAGTAGAACATGCAGATGAGCAGGCAATGTACCGTTGTTTGTATGGAATTTTGTGAAGCTTAGGTATCCAATACAAACAAGATAAGTCCTCAGATTTGCTGTTCAATGTAATGTTCATTGAAGCCATGAAGGACTTATGATTCACCAAAATCTCATCCTTGTAAAACGATGTTTTTGTATGTGGGACTACCTGGAAAGAGCTATGCCCATGAGAAGGATATTTACAGGACTTGTATGTTTATCAAGCACAATTCAGTTTAAGAAGTCGTTCCATGTTATTTCTAAAACAAATAAATAATTACGACCGCAGAGGTCCAACCCTGAACAGTTGGGGCAAAAATGGACACAATATTCACGCTTGACAGAGGTCTGAATTTGTATTGTAATTAAATATTTGAAACATAATAGGTTTCTGACACAGAATAACTGTAGTCAAAGAACTTAGAATTGTTATATGATTTGAATTTATATTCAATTTTTAGCTTTTGTGCATTACACTTTGCTGTTGCAAATTGCCCCCCCCCCCAAAAAAAAATTTTTTTTTTACTCCCCCCTCCCTTTTTTTGCAAAAAAAAAAATATTTGAAGAAATTTTCTTTTTAATTTCTGAAATCTGAAATGAGAAAAAATTGTCCCCCACAATTTCTTTTTTACCCCCCCCCCCTCCCAATTTTTTTTCACTTCCCCCTACCCCCTTTTTCAAAAAAGAAAAATGTTTCCCTCAAGATATGGTCATAATCTCAATTCAAATTTCCAATGGAGTTTGCAACACATCATAAAAGTCTTAAAATAGAAAATGACATACATAATCATGGCTAAAATAATATTCCTTAATCAGCATTTTTAATAGTAACTTCTAAAAATAAATTGACAGCTAATCACATCAAGACAATACAACATTTCTTTATACATAATTTAAAAGCAGTGTAAGGGAGGTAATCCAAACATAACATTGTACTTTTAATTGTCCATTAACCAGGAAACCCTTGTTTTTCCCCTTTTTTTGCCCCTTATTCCTAAACGGTTTGAGCCATAACCCCCCAAAGCCAATCCTAACCATCCCTTTGTGGTATGGAAACTTGTGGTCTAATTTTAGAGAGATCCATACACCTTTCCACAAGTTATTGTCTGGAAACTAGAAAAGTGCTTATTTGGACCCCTTTTTGGCCCCTAATTCCTAAACTGTTAGGACCATAACCCCTAAAATCAATCCCAACCTTCCTGTTGTGGTTATAAACCTTGTGTTAGATATAGAAGATAATTTTTACATTGTTTGATGATTTATCCCTTAATTCAGACGACAACGGAATGTAGGATCGCTATGTCAACAAAAATGGGGAAAAAATTATTAAAACTTTTCCTCTAGATACTATCTTTTGATTGTAAGAAGCTTCTGTCCAAGTTTGGTAAAAATCCATAGATTTCTATTTACATATACTAAAGTTATTGTCCGGAAACCAAATGTCTTCGTACGACGCTGACGATGACGACTACGTGATACCTTTGCGGTCGTATAAAAACTTGAAGGTAAGATAAATGTTTACATGGGGTTTTTACCATTTTTGAAGAATTGGGATGCTTAATTAAATCTCATGCTTGCACACATGCGCACACTTGTACTGGTTCAAATAACCTGGTTCTGTCAATTTTTTGAGGGAAACATCTTTTACTCCCTCTATTTATTTACTACCTAATTACTTTTTATAGATATATTTGAAAAAAGGCTGATAGATGTCCTGTACAAAATATTCTACCCATGGCCTTAAGAGGTAAATTTCAGCTGTCAGATATATAGTAATTAACCTTGATTGTTACATTTGTAATGATGGGTATTATAGCAGGTTTTGCTTTTAGAGTTCTTATTTATCATGTCACAGAAACTTGAATTGTAGCTGATTAAGGCTTAAGTTCAGGTCAAATAAAAAGCTGTTTACTTTTATTATCTTTTTTTCCTCGATTTTTTGTTTATTTTAAAAAAAAATCATAATAATTAAGGAATTTGACTTTCATTTCAGTTTTTTATTGAGTTTGTATTTTGCCTTTTTTTTACATATGCTAACCATGTGTAACATCTTGAAGAGTCAAGATACATTAATTGGACATTTACCTATTATGGTACAATACCAAAATCTAAGTAAATAGTTAGATTCAGCATATCAAAGAACCCCCAGAATTTAATTTTTGATGAAATCAAACAAAGTTTAATTTTGGACCCTTTGGACCTCAATGTGGACCAATTTAAAAACCAGGCCAAAATCCAAAATCTAAATACTGGATTAGATTTAGCATATTAAAGAACCTCAAGAATTCAAGACTTTGAATTAAACCCCATTGAAATTGGTCAAGAAATAAGCAATCTATTCAAAGTATTAGAAAAGTATTGTTTTTGGCCCCTTTTTCCTAAACGGTTAGGGTCATAACCCCCAAACTCAATCCCAACCTGCCTTTTATGGTATGGAACCTTATGGTACAACTTCATAGAGATCCATAGACTTTTTTTTTTACATATGCTAACCATGTGTAACATCTTGAAGAGTCAAGATGCTTCAATAGTATGAATGCCCCATATAATAGAGGATTAATACAATTATTTAAAGGCCTTGCCTGTTTATTTACTTTTGACTTTAAATATTTATCCCTTGTAATTTTTTATTAACTGTGTATTTGCATTCAGGTGTCACAGGTCAAAGTTATTCGTTCATTGTGTGTGTTAATTTACGTTTTTTGATTGAGTTAAGCCTTCCAATTGATATTTTATAGTGTGTTTTTCTCTGTTGTGATGTTATACTATTGTTTCAGAAAAGGGAGAAGGTTTGGTACCATTAAAACGTTTAATACCGCTGCAAATGTTTGCACCTGTCCTAAGTCAGGAATCTGATTACAGTAGTTGTCGTCTGTTTATGTAGTTCATATGTGTTTCTTGTTTCTTGTTTTTAAGTAGATTAGACCGTTGGTTTTTCCGTTTGAATGGTTTTACACTAGTAATTTTTTGGGGCCCTTTATAGCTTGCTGTTCGGTGTGAGCCAATGCTCCGTGTTGAAGGCCGTACCTTGACCTATAATGGTTTACTTTTATAAATTGTAACTTGGATGGAGAGTTGTCTCATTGGCACTCATACCACATCTTCCTATATCTACTTGCCGTATATAACAAACTTTGAATCTTTATTTTTCAATTCTAAAAGATGATGGCCTCATACTATAATGCATTATAAATAATTTGACACAACAATTATTATCTTAATGTCATTTCTGTGAAAACTGATATTACCAATGCGTTTTGAATATTTGTGTATATATATGCAAATGTATCAAGTTTGTATGTTTTCATTTTCAAAATCCTTTTGATACGACTACAAGGCTAAATTTTTGTACACCTTTATCATGTTCATAATTCCTACAGAAAAGAATGAAATCAGAATTGTAACATGCATCTGATACATTAATAAATTTTGGTTGTCTTTTTAAAATGTTGTTTTCTTCATGATTAGTGCCACAATGAGGCAAATTTTATATTGTACTTAATTCAAGGTGAAGAGAAATGATTGTTCTTAGGAAATTTTTCTTACCATTAGGATCTCCTTTTTTATAACAGGTAGAGGCATTCACATATTCTGAGGCAGCTTGGTGTTTGCTTTGTAGTTTAATCTGTATTACAGCTGCCTTACAAAAACACTGGCCTGCCTCTGTAACATAGAAGAACAATACAGTAATCTGTCAACACTAAAAAAATAAAATGCTCTGCAGGGCGCAGCTTGATAAGACCACAGAGGCCCAACCCTGAACAGCTGAGGAAAGTATGGACACAACATTCAAGCTTGATACAGCTCTGAATTTGGATTTGAAATTGTACATTTACCTATTATGGTACAATACCAAAATCTAAGTAAATAGTTAGATTCAGCATATCAAAGAACCCCCAGAATTCAATTTTTAATGAAATCAAACAAAGTTTAATTTTGAACCCTTTGGACCTCAATGTGGGCCAATTTAAAAACCAGGCCAAAATCCAAAATCTAAATACAGGATTAGATTTAGCATATTAAAGAACCTCAAGAATTCAAGACTTTGAATTAAACCCCATTGAAATTGGTCAAGAAATAAGCAATATATTCAAAGTATTAGAAAAGTATTGTTTTTGGCCTCTTATTCCTAAACGGTTAGGGTCATAACCCCCAAACTCAATCCCAACCTTCCTTTTATGGTATGGAACCTTATGGTACAATTTCATAGAGATCCATAGACTTATACTGAAGTTATTGTCCGGAAACATGAAAATCCTTGTTTGTTTGCCCCTTTTTGACCCCTAATTCCTAAAAGGTTTGGGCCATAACCCCCAAAATCAGTCCAAACCTTCCTTTTGCGGTATGGAACCTTGTGGTAGAATTTCATATATAGAGATCCATACACTTTTACACCAGTTATTGTCCTGAAACAATAAAAATGCTTGTTTTTGGCCCCTTTTTCCTAAACAGTTATGACAATAACAGGGATGGGGTAATTGAAAATGTAAAGGTTATTAAGTGTAATGCATTACAATTTTCCATGTAATTGAATGTAAGGTGTAATTGAGCATTTTTTTAATTACATGTAATGGTAATTTAATTAATTACAACGAAAAAAGCATGTAATGCTAAATTACTTTTGAATTACATTTCAATTACATGTACTTTTATGGTGTTAATGATAATAAATTATGGTAATATAGTATTTAATTGATATACAGAAATGTTTGCTTAATAGTCTTATAACTTTAAAAAATATGAGAATCATATATTAGTGTTGTTCAGTTTTTAAGAAAGATCTTTATCTAAATAGATTGATAACATGTATATATACATTCCATCAATACATGTATTTATGGTCAATCAAATGTGTAACTCTTTCTTAGACAGTTCATTTAGAATTTTAAATCACTGCACAAAATCATTTTGTCAAATTAGTATACACAAATGGATTATAGAAATAAAAATTCGTAAGGGTTCTGCGGAACCCAGTGTCTCGCCTACTTTTGCTGTTATCTATGTTTTCAGTGTGATAGGGGAATGCACATAATAGATTTACAGTTAATGAAATAAAACGTTTGAAATGTATGAAAAAAGTTATGCTTGTAAAAATGAATACAGTATGGAATCAAATCTATAGATTTATAAAAGAGATTGAATGAACAAATGATAAAGAAGATAATTTTTACATTGTTTGATGATTTATCCCTTAATTCAGACGACAACGGAATGTAGGATCGCTATGTCAACAAAAATGGGGAAAAAATTATTAAAACTTTTCCTCTAGATACTATCTTTTGATTGTAAGAAGCTTCTGTCCAAGTTTGGTAAAAATCCAGGATGGTTCATGAATCTAATAAATGTTTTAAAAACTTTACCTGCAGACTGTATGTAATGTTAACTGGAAGAAAAACTAAGTCCATTTATAAGTAATATACGGAAAAACAGGAAATAAATTTTTACAAAATTTCCTTCTAGTTACTAGCTTTTGATCATAAACAAGCTTCTGTCCAAGTTTGGTACAAATCCTGGATAGTTTAAGAAAGTTATTAAAATTTTAAAAACTTTAACCACAGAGTGAATGTAATGTTAACTGGCAGAAAAACTAAGTCCATTTATAAGTAAAATACGGAAAAACAGGATTTTTTTTTTCAAAATTTACTTCTGGATACTATCTTATGATCATAAACAAGCTTCTGTCCAAGTTTGGTACAAATCCAGGATAGTTTAAGAAAGTTATTAAAATTTTAAAAACTTTAACCACAGAGTGAATGTAATGTTAACTGGCAGAAAAACTAAGTCCATTTATAAGTAAAATAGGGAATAACTGGAATTTTTTTTTTACAAAATTTACTTCTGGATACTATCTTATGATCATAAACAAGCCTCTGTCCAAGTTTGGTAGAAATCCAGGATATTTTAAGAAAGTTATTAAAATTTCAAAAACTTTTAACCACAGAGTGAATATTTGTGGATGCCGCCGACGACTACGACGACGCCGACGGAATGTAGGATCACTATGTCTCCCTTTTTCGACAAAAGTCGAAGGGTACAAAAGTTATCAGCTGTAAAAACAAACAGCAATTAATCAGATTAAAATGTGTAATAAAACAGCCTAGGGACAATGCCAATATTACAATGTATTCTATCTAATTAGCAAAATAGTGCTGATATTTAGACAATACACACTGTTTGTACTAAAAAATAGTTTCAATATTGTGACAAGCATACTTTTGAATATTTGTAAAGTAAAAAAACATGAAGACATTTTTAATTTATTTATAATTTTTTTATTTATATTATGTTGAATTAAATGACTTCATTTCTGAGTTGTCAAAATACCCCTTAATTTATTGACAAGTTGATAGGAACACATTCCCTCTTCCATCAACACATCTTATGATCTAGCAATACCAGCCACATCAGCTCTTGTCCAAACAAAGTGTAACGACCAGAGAGATGTAGACTAAATGACAAAACATTAAAACTTCTTATGATGATCAAATGCAATGCTAAAACTATGTTGTAAGCTTACATGAATATTTTACACATGCTATATATACATGATATATATTGTAAACAATGTTTAAAAAAAATATGATAAAATGTAATGTGTAATTTAATTAATTACTTTAGTAAAGTAATTGTAATTTAATTAATTACATTTCAAAAACTCTGTAATGGTAATAAGTGTAATTGATCATTTTTGCAATGTAATGTGTAATTTAATTAATTACATTCCAATGTAGTTGACCCCAAGTCTGGACAATAACCCCCATAATCAATTATAACCTTCCTTTTGTGGTATGGAACCATGTGATACAATTTCATAGAGATCCATACATTTATACTCAAGTTATTGTCTGGAAACCAAATGTCTTTGGATGACAACGGCCAAAACATATAAAAACAAAGTTAGAGAATATGCAATGATTTCTTTTAGGCTATGATTCTGATAAATAAGCATTGTTGTGATAAAAAGTGTTTTTTACAAATTTATCAATTTGAATAATTGTTAGTATAGATTGCGCAGGTGTCTCTGTTATGTTTAAAAAGGGTCTGGATTTTGTGGTACATAATTCTATTATTGATGACAATGGTCGTTACATTATTTTAGATAGAACTATTTTTTCACAAAGATTTAGTTTTGCATGTTTGTATGGTTATAATACAGATGAACCTTCATTCTTTGACACAATAATGCAGAACATTTTAATCTTTAAAAGTACCAGTATTTTATTATGTGGTGACTGGAATGTTGTATTAGATAAATTTATGGATACATATAATATCAAACATAATAGAAACCCTAACTCCCGTAAAAAAATTGATGAAATCATTGATGTTTTTGAACTACTTGATCCTTGGCGTACATGCTATCCAAAAGACAGGAAATATACCTGGCGTCAGTCCTCACCCATAAAACAAAGTCGCCTTGATTATTTTTTAATTTCAGAAGACCTTTTTTCACTTATGAAAAATACCATTATCATACCGGGTTATAGAACAGACCATTTGGCAATTCTTTTCACCTTCTCAGCTTGTTTAGAGAAACGGGGCAAAAGTTATTGGAAATTTAACTCTCAGCTACTCAGAGATGCAGATTATATACAAAGGGTTAAATCCTGCATTAAGGATACTACTTTAGAATATCATCTGTCAGGTGATATAGAAGATCTTCTTTCTGTTGAGTTGTCATGTAATGATCAAACATTTTTTGAAATATTGAAAATGAAGACTAGATCCTTGTCCATAAATTACAGCATAAATAAATCCAGAGAGGAAAAAAATGTCACTCTCAAACTTGAAAATGATATTTTATATTTTGAAAGTATTATGAATCATTCTCCAAATGATGAGGTTCAAAAATCTTTATTTGAAAAAAAACTTGAACTAGATTTTGTAGACAAAAGAAAGTTGAAGGCTTGCTGCTTAGATCCCGAGCTAACTGGCATGAGAATGGTGAAAAGTGTACAAATTATTTTTGTAAATTAGAAAAGAAAAATTTTATTAAGAAAACCATAACAGAACTAATAGATGATAAAGGTCAACATATTTCAGAGCAATCCAAAATTCTGATGGAAAAACAAAATTTTTATAAAAATTTGTACTCAAGCAAAAAATTAGATTGCAATGATACATCATTTTTTAATCATAACATTAAGCTTACAGAAAAAAAAGTGATCTTTGTGAAGGAAATTTAACTTTTAAAGAATGTGCTGATTCTTTAAAATTCATGACAAATGGTAAAAGTCCTGGTTCTGATGGGTATTCTGTAGATTTTTATAAATTTTTTGGGAAAGATATTGGCCCTTTTGTCTCTTCACTTTGGATATGAGGGGGGAAAATTTTCTGATTTTCAGTATCAAAGTATAATAACTTGCATTCCTAAAGAGGGAAAAGACAGACAGTATATTAGTAACTGGCGTCCTATTAGTCTTTTGAATACTGATATGAAAACAGCTTCTGCTGTTATAGCTAATAGACTTAAACCTGTTTTACCATTTATCATAAGTGATACACAAAAAGGTTTCATTAAAGACAGATTTATGGGTGAGAACACACGTCTTTTATATGATTTGATGCACTATCTTGAGGAAAATAATAAGACAGGTCTTTTATTACTTGTTGATTTTGAAAAGGCATTTGATTCCTTGGAATGTTTATTTTTAAAAGATTCC